ATATATATAGTCACGAGATATTTCCACATGAGTTATCTGCATTTATAAAAGCTCTAAAACTAACATGCTATCGGCTGTTTTAGCTTCAGATTGCTGAATATTAGAGTTGAACAGATCAGTCGTAAAAGTCCTGCTCACCCTGACCTGCAGCTGCAGCTGCAGCTTCAGCAGCTGGAGCTTCAGCAGCTGGAGCTTCAGCAGCTGGAGCTGGCTCCTCAGGTTCCACCGGAGGTTCTTGTGGGGCCTCAGGCTGCTCCGTTTGGACCGTCTGAGCTGGTTCTGGCGGAGGAGGCATCACTGCTTGCATCATAGGCTGATAAGGTTGAAAGTGAGCGAAGAGCGGCTGCATCAGAGGAGGCTGTTGATAAGGAGGCTGAGGGGGCGGAGCTCCGGGATGAACCGTCACAACGGGAGCTGATGGAGCTGAAAATACCAAAAATATGTTTGTATTCTTTACTGTATGAGATAAAACCTATTTATGACCAGGTTTTATATCACGCATCACAAAATGGGTCATTAACAAAATATGGTGTAAATACCTGACACGGTTGGAGGAGGGTATGGATTATCTGTGACGATGTGATGCACTGGAAAATAAAAAGGTTACATTTCCAGAGATCCATCCTGCGGGTCATAACATACTGGTACATTTTACTTTAAGTACTGTTGGTTGTTAGTGACTTACCGTACCAGCCGGGAGGAGACGGACAGTAAACTGGTGCAGGTCTGCAAGGACCGACTGCAACAGAAACAGGAAGTGCATTTATTTATGTAATCTGACAATAATTATATCTGCATACAGATTACAATAATCTGTTACAACAATCACATCAATCATTGCTGGATCATTAAAACCTCTGAGTTAAAGACCAATCTATATTCCATGATCCCCGTTTTCTGGATCCCATAATATTTAGTTTCTGTATTTTCTTTGTGTTCAGGTCTTCTCCAGTCCCTCTCAGTATTTTTCCGGGCTCCTCAGTCCGGCCAGTCCACCCACACCTGTTCTCTGTTGTCACTTTGCCCAGGTGTCTCCACTCTACCAGTCAACCTTTCAGGCCCCAAACTTCGCCTCTCACACCAGTTGAGAATTGTGTGTTTTTACTCTACGTTCGGTTCTTCTTTTACCTCCTCGGGTTTACTTGAGTCGTTTTGTCCCTCCTTGTGATCATCTCCTTGGATCAAGTACACATTTTTACTGCCCTGCCAGCTTTTTGTTTTATTGAAATAAAGTTAAAGTTTTATTTAGTTCAAGCTCCTCGATTTGGGTCCAACCTCTCAACAACATTTTTCATTGACCCTTTATTTATCCAGGTAGTCTCGTTGAGCCACGAGAACTCATTTTCAAGAGAGACCTGTTTAGGGAGCAGATGGGGGTTAAGGGCCTTGCTCATGGGCCCAGAGTGGGGCAAATGAGGGTGGAGGCAGGTGTGGGTGCTTTCCTACCTACTTTTTTTTTTTTTTTTTTTATGTTGTCAGTACCGGGAGTTGAACCAGCAAGCTTCAAATCGCAGGCCCACCTTCTCTAACCTCTGCGCCACCACTCCCCTGTACACAGTAAGTACAGAGTTATAGTACTTACAGAACACTAAAACTGTATTCAGAATACAACATTTTTCAGTCATGTCATCTGGACAGCTTCTTTCTTTGTGCTGAAACGTTTCATCTTCCATCCAGAAGGCTTCATCAGTCAAGAAAACACACAACAAAACTGATTCTTCCCCCAACAGCTTACTCCAAAGTGGAACAAACCAGTTATGTTGGTGCTAAGATGGTCTCTTTGGAATGCCCCCTCCTCCATTGCCGGCTCTCTTCCTTGTTGACAGTCGTGTCAAACTGGTTGAAAACAACAAAGTCCATGCTCAGTAATCCAGGTATGCATCCAACATTTTTCAGTCAGGTCATCTGGACAGTTTCTTTTTGTGCTGAAACGTTTCGAAGGCGAAAAAAAAAAAAAGAAACTGTCCAGATGACCTGACTGAAAAATGTGGGATTATATACCTGGATTATTGAGCATGGACTTTGCTGTAATCCGAATAATTTTATTTAGAAACACGCCTCACAAAGATAAAAAGCAAACAAACATTTTTTTTAAGCTCTCAAAATGACTTTTTGCATCTTAAAACATCAACTAAGAAATAAAAAAAAATGTTTATGCCCCACTGATATTTCTATAAATGTTTTACATGTATAATAAAATAATGTCGTTTGATGACGCACTCTGGAAAAGGCGTTGGGAAACGGGAGCACTGAACGGTCATATAGCACCACCTGCTGGACGTGAGAGTAACTGCATCAAACATAAAATAACTGGTGCTTCATAATTTATGGTTAGTAATTATATAGAATTTTATATATATATATATATATATATATATATATATATATATATATATATATAGTTCTGTGTTTTTATGTATTTGTACCATGTTATTTGCAAACTCTCTGATAATAATATTACATAAATTTAATTTTACGATGGTTTGTATGGTAATTTGTTTAAGAATATGTTGAATTTAGGAGGTATGACAGTAGATATTTTTTCATGTTTATATGTGTCATTAGAATTTGAGATTGTCATTTGTTATTCTGTTTGTGTGTTCGTTTATTCTGTACGTTCAATAGTTCAGTAAAGTTTTTTTTTAGGGGTGCACCGATAAATCAGCCGGCCAAGTTGGATTTTTAATTTTTTTTGTATTTTTAACAACAATTATGTGAACTTCATTTATATTTCAGAGCACTACCTCATGGCCAGTTAAACAAGTTAGTTTTGTTTCTAGGATATTGCTCAAGGTATGTTTTTCAGTAAAATAAGATTGAAAAATTGAAGGTTGTGACCTTGTAACACTGACACTGTCGCTTAAAATAAAATCAGTATCGACAGGTCAGGCTTTTTAAAAATCTGTGATCGGACAGAAAACTGCAATCGGTGCGCCCCTAGTTTAAATTTTATTACTCTGATTTTGAGACGTGTGAATCTGATTTATAAATCGACACAAAGCACCATTTGACCAAACCATTTCTCACAACTACGGCTCGTTTCAGGTTTTTATTTACAGTATTAAAAACTTTTAAGAGTTTAGCATTTCCTATTTTATTTTATAACAAATGTCTGTGCGTATGCAAATGTTGTAAAAGTCATAATCAATCAATTTGTGATAAAGAATGTGTCTCCAGATAAGCAGAATGGGATCATTCAGTGATTATATTTTGTCTTTCTGACATCCCACAGCTGATTATAAAATGAGGCTTTGTTTGTTTAAAACGTGCACTTTCTGTGACACGTGTTCCTGTCATGATGCTTCTACACATTTTTATTTTCTGCACCTTTGAAGAAAAACAAATTCAACAAAAGCAAAAATATCATCTTACGCACGTATTGTCCCAATAAATCCTAAAGAGTGAATAAATTCACAGATAAAACTGTGGATGCAAGTTCATCCATTTTCATGTTTTAACATCAAACTTTGTTTTAAAAATATGTTGCAAACATTAAAAAAGTGACTTTTTAATTTATTTACCTTCTTGTTCCGACTCTGGGGCTGGCTCTTGTGGTTTGGCCTCTGTCTCTGGTAGGAAATGTATTTGGAATAAAAAAGTTTTTAATTTCCACATTTAGATTATTAATTTGTGTGTGAATTTATATTTAGTACAGACCTGATTTTATAGCCTTGGTCTTCTCTTTTATCTTGGCTTTTTGAAACAAAGTATGCACATTTATTTATTTATTTTCAACAAAAGCACAATAATCATGTTTTTATTTCTTTAATTTGTGGTTAAACTCGGCCTCTTCCTTTAAAAACAACTCTAATCTTAGATTACCTTTGAGAAGAGGAGCTAATCTTCGAATCCGTTTGACTTTTGGCTCCACAGTAACCATTCTTGGAAGAGCTGGACAAAATATAAATGTTATTATTGATATGATTTAAAAAAGGCATGACTGAGGATATTCAGTAAGACGTAGCAGATGCTCAGCGTTACCTTGCCATTTGTTCTTTTTATCTGTCTTTACAGCTCCCTGTTCTTAAAGGAATAAAGAAATAAATTAACAAACAAAACTAAACAAGGTAAATAATTAATTTCATCTAACTGCTGCAGAAAAGTAAGTTAAGTTTTCCAACACTGAATGAGTTAATTCGCTCCAGTTCACCTTAATTGACAGAAATACTTTTTATTTAATTGGGGACTGCCACGTAAGGCAGCACCTATCATTATCCACCTGACAAAGGGTTTCTTAACTTTATATCTCACTCTGCCGTCAACTTTAGTGCAGCCCGAACAGCAGCGTGTGCCTCCTCAAACATTGTGTCAAATAGACCAGCTCTGCACCATGATGTGTGATATTATTTGTGTTGGCATTTCAAGTTACCACGGCGACGTAATTTGCAAACGAAGAGGCCATTTTTCCCGTACAGAACGCCTGATGGAACACCTAACTGCAGCTCTGAGGTCACGTGACATAGAGTGGTCCCTGAAGAAAACTTTGAAAGTCACTGCTATGTTTGTTTGAAACTCATAGAAAGTAATCATCAGATGTATCTCTAGAAATGATTAACCTTTGGAGCCATTTTGATTCAAGATGGCTGCCACAGATACGACAGCAAACACAAAATTGACTATAACTCAGTCATTCTTTGAGATATTGAGCTAAAATTTAGCATGGTTGTAGCTGATCGTTGTTATACCTTCCTAATGCAAATCAAATATCCAAGATGGCTGCCTTGGCTAAAAGGGGAAAAAAAATACTATAAATTATCCGTTTTTAAAGATATTAAGCTGAAATTTGGTGTATTGGTAGCTGAGAGCGATGCCCCATAAACATAAAATTTCAAGATGGCCACCAAATCTACATTTAAACTGTTTTAAATCAGTCATTTCTACACATATAAGAGCTGAAATTTGGTGAAGTTATAGTTGAGAACGTTCTCATACTGAATCTAATAAAGCATCCAAGATGGCCACGTTAGCTAAAAGGGATAAATGTCAACAACTCAGCCATTTTTAGAGCTATTCAGCTGAAGTTTGTTATAGAGGTAGCAGAGAGTGACCCCCAACATATAGTACTGTCAAATCACAATGTTACAGTGGCAGCAGCCTGGCAGTCCCCATCAAAGCTTCTCCAGTAACTTCCTAGTGTTTACCTTTTTGTCGTCTCACAGCAGAAACTCTCCTGGGGGCATCTAAAACCAGAAAATAACGTTCAGGACCCAAAGTTACAAAACTTTATTTAATCTGATGCTGAAAAAAGGGACAAATCTGCAGGTCACATCAAAACGTTGGCAGAAGTTAAAAATAAAAACAAACCAGATGAATCGTCTGAAACTAAACTGCAAGAAGTAAAAATGTAGAAATAATGATTTGATAAAAGATGAAGACAAACCTTTTTTATCTTTAGTCTTTGCAGAGGACTCTTTGGTTTTTGCAGAGTGCATGCAGGGACACACTGAAATCACAACATCTTGAAGTTACTCAGAAAACATAATCTGATCAAAACTCACATCTTCGTCCTCAAATTCTAACCTGCAGGTTCAACCTTGGGTGCGTCTTCCTCAGGTTCTGGCACAGGTTTGATCACATCCACTGTTGCCTTTTCCTCATCATCATCTTCGTCCTCTTTCTCCTCCTCCTCCTCCTTGTCTTCAGATTTGTCTGCAGCCTTCTGAGGCTCAGACTCTTTACCGTCTCCCTCCTTGTCCTCCTCCTCAGGAGCTGCAGGATGTCTGCTCTCTGATGGTGAAAACAGCTTCTTGTATGATGGGACATGACACCAGTGTACTCATTTAATGGACACACGTTTAAAAAAGTGAACTTGTGTATTTAAAATCAAAATCAAAATGTGCACAAACTACGAAATATTTACACTAAATTCAGAACAAAAAAGGCTCAACTTAGAGTAAAAAATGAGAACGTCTCAGGGTTTACCCACCAGCATCCTCGGTCTTATCTTCATCATCAGGCTGCACGAGCTCCTCCTCTTCTTCAGCATCATCTGCCTCAGTCTTTGTTCCCTCCTGCTGGGCGGTGATGGTCGCAGCAGCTGTAAAAACTGCTCAGTTAGTCCTCATTTTAAATTACTGAGATACTTTGAGAAAGATTTTAGGACAGGGGTTTGAGGCGTTCACTGCCTCTTGGTGTTTTAGACGCTCGGCTGCTTCGACGCTTCATTTAAACTGCTGGAAGATTTTCATGTTGGTGCTAAACTTGTTGATGCTGCTGAAACTTATTCAGGAGAACAATGAATCAGAGAACACTGAATCAGAGAACACTGAATCAGAGAACACTGAATCAGAGAACACTGAATCAGAGAACACTGAATCAGAGAACACTGAATCATTTGAATCAGTTGTTTTGGAGCAGGAAAACATTGAAAACATGCAGAACAGTGGGTTTGATGAACCACGACTGAAAAACACACATGTTGAGAAAGAAATATATATATATATATATATATATATATATGTATGTGTATAAATGTATATATATGTATATAACTTGAGAAATCTTGTAAATTTTGTCTTGTGGTTAAGGAGTAATGTTCTAATTAGTTGTCACATGCAGTTTATCTGTCCCCAGAGGGGCAGCATTAATCACATCTGTGGACTCTTATCAGAGTGGACCGGCTGAGAGACACTGTACGTCTTAATCAGGACTATGGAAAGTATCTGGAAGTGTTCATGGACATTCTCACCATGTTGTCGTCCTCCCCGCTGCAAAATCTGTTATGTTTCTCTATGTGTTTTGGTGAGGTAGATCATTTTGCTACCTTGCCCTGTGTCAAGGACACGGTGTTAGAGATCTTTTTTGTACCTTCTCCCCTCATGTGTTCTCTTCTTATCTAAGACTTAGAGCAGCCCCGGTACACTTCCATCTACCCTTCAGACGGAACGCATGTTCACTGATGCAACGACAACGAAGAAGATTCTGATGAATGCAGAAGTAAATAAGCAAGCTTTGTGACTAGCTTTCTTGGAGTTTCCTGTAATTTGTATGTCACAGTTTGGGATTATAATGTTTTTTTTCCATTTACTGTATTTTTATTTATTAAATCTTCCAATGAGTCATTTTGAAAAACTTTCTGAGACATTAACAGCAGATACATCTTGTAGGAACACATCCACTTGTGTGTGTCTACAGCAGGGTTACTTATCTGGCGCCCGCAGGTGACTTCAGTCCAGCCCACCAATGAGTTCTTTTTTCTTTTTTTTTTTTTAGGGTTTGGGGGGGGGTCTGAGTTTGTTTTGAGTTCTGTTTGTTGCATTTTTGATTCAATGCACCAAAATAAACAAATTTAAAAGGTAACAGATCGTTATAATACTTGGTTTATTTACAAAATGACTTTAATTGCTGGATGTCCCGCCCCTGAGCACCTGGACTTCAGTAACTGTGCCCCCCCACCACCACCACCACCCCCTGAGCAGTTTAGTTGAAGAACCCTGGTCTGCAGTGTTTCATGTAGGAGGGATGATGAGTGAAAAAGCACTTCACTTCCAGAATATAAGATAAATCTTAGTCTGTATGAAAAATGAGTGTCAGTGAGAGTTTAGGTGTTCAGATTTTGTTTTCTGGGGGGGTTGAAAGGAAACCAGAAGTCCTCCGCAGTGAGACCACACACAATAATCCTTACAGTTCGATTTCTATAAACTGGATTAGACGAGCGACTGTGTGGAAACTGCTGCAAAATATCATAACGCTAATCAAGTCATGAAATAAAACGGTGCTTTCAGGGACTGGCCTTTTGAGGTCTATTTTCTACTCTGTTGTCTGCCTGTCATGAAAAGTGCAGTCAGGGAGTGAGAGACCCAGATGTGTGGTTGCCATGGTGACCCTACTAAGCCGCTGGCAGCAGCTTCAACATTTCTTTTGATCTTGGATCTCTTCACTCTTCTACGGTTCATACATCAAAAGTCAGCTTATTCATTTAATCTTCATCATACCTGCCAGCAAGACTTCATCGATCCCATCATCATCTTCATCATCTTCCTCCTCATCGTCATCAGCTGAGGGTTCTGCTTCCTCGTCTTTAAGTTCATCTTTGTCTTCCTCAGCGCCAACCGATGTTTCTGTGATCGATTTTTCCTCCTCTTCATCAACGTTGAGCTCCAGCGAGCTGGTATCAACATCTTCATCATCTGTCTCATCTTCATCAATGTCCTCACTGAAGACACTGTCTCCGAGAGAGTCTTCATCAAGGTCTGAAGCGCTGTCTTCATCTTCATCACCCAAGACTCCACTGTCTGAGCTTATAAATAGAGGAATTTCTTCCTCCTCTTCGTTCTCCTCTTTCCTTTTATACTCATCATCATCATCCTCATCATCATCAGGTTTGAGAAGATCATCTTCGTCTTCATCATCTTCAAGGCTGATGTCTTTGTTAAAGTCCCCGTCTTTACTGTCCTCATCTTCATCTTCAACGTCCGCGAAGTGCTCAGAGGATGCGACAGAGACGTCCTCGTCTGTTTGGTCCAGATCATCATCACTATCTTCATCATCAGCTTTTACATCTTCATCGTCATCATCTTCAACAGGAGGAAGAGCAGAAAGATCTTCCTCTCCTGCAGGTTTGTGATCATCTTCCTCTTCCTCAGTGGAAACTTCTACATGAGGAAGATCAACATCCAAGTCATCATCAGAGTCCTCTGGAATGATGTCGTCAGAATCATCTTCGTCTTCCTCTTCTTCCTCACTCGAAGGAGCTGCTGAATCACTGAGGTCCGAGGTGTCAGTGAATGCATCGTCAGTGGTTATATCCTCATAATCTTCATCTTTCTCGTCCTCTTCATCACTGTCTTTGAGGTCAGTGGGGACGTCAGAATCTGAATCAGGAGACAGATCTGACTCTTCATCCTCTGAGGTAGTAACAGGTTCAGGAGACTCCTCTTCATCAGCAACAAGTTCCTCTTCATCATCATCATCATCATCATCAACTGGCTCTGCTTCAGCTGACTGAGGTTCTTCCTCATCTTCATCATCTCTGTCTGCATCAGTAGCTGCTTCAGCTTGCTCTTCATCATCTTCTTCCTCCTCAGTTTCTCCTGTCTCCTCCTCTTCCTCTTCTTCCACCCCTTCTTCTTCTGTTTCCACCTCATCTTCATATACCCCTTCCTCCTCCTCTTCATCCTCATACTCTTCATCCTCATACACCTCATCATCTTCCTCCTCCTCCTCTTCATACTCCTCCTCGTCATACTCCTCCTCGTCATACTCCTCCTCATATTCCTCTTCCTCCTCATACTCCTCTTCCTCATATTCATACTCCTCTTCCTCATACTCTTCTTCATCCTCCCCTTCCTCCTCCTCATACTCCTCTTCCTCACCCTCCTCCTCTCCCTCATCTCCCCCAGCAGCCTCCACATCTTTCCCCTCTTCCTCCTCCTCCTCTTCCTCCTCTGCTTCCATCTTTTCCAGTGTTTTCTTTGCTTGCATCCCAATAACTGCAAGAAAAACTAAAATATTTCAATAACTGCGAGAAGGAAGATTTTTTATACAATGTAGTAATCACTGAATATATTTACTGTTCGAGAAAACTTAAACTAACACCAAAAAATTATTATTATTATTATTATTATCGTCATTATTATGATTATTATAGCATTACTATTATTACTACTTTTATTATTATTATTATTATTATTATTATTAGTAGTAGTAGTAGTAGTAGTAGTAGTAGTAGTAGTAGTAGTAGTGGTAGTAGTAGTAGTAGTAATAGTTGTAGTAGTAGTATTGGTGGTGGTAGTAAAAATAGTAGTGGTGGTAGTAGTAGTAATAGTAGTAGTATTAGTAGTAGTACTAGTAGTAGTAGTAGTAGTAGTAATAGTAGTAGTAGTAGTAGTAGTAGTAGTGGTAGTAATAGCAGTAATAGTTGTAGTAGTAATAGTGGTAGTAGTAGTATTAATAGTAGTAGTTGTCGTGTGGTAGTAGTAGTATTAATAGTAGTAGTTGTCGTAGTAGTAGTAGTAGTAGTGGTGGTAGTAGTAATAGTAGTAGTAATAGTAATAGTACTAGTAGTATTACTAGTAGTGGTAGTATTAGTAGTGGTGGTAGTAGTAGTAATAGTAGTACTATTAGTATTAGTAGTAGTAGTAGTAGTGGTAGTAATAGTAGTAGTAATAGTAGTAGTAGTAGTAATAGTTGTACTAGTAGTAGTAGTAGTAGTAGTGGTAGTAATAGTAGTAGTAATAATAGTTGTACTAGTAGTAGTGGTAGTAGTAGTAGTAGTAGTAATAGTTGTAGTAGTAGTAGTAGTAGTAGTAGTGGTGGTAGTAATAATATTTGT